AAACCCTAACTCGACTAATCAACATTCAATCATCTTCAATTTCAAGATCGGCGTGTCACTCTTTGATTATATCAATCAATCAAACAAGATTTCATCAATTCCTAATCAAATTAACTCGCACAAGTATAAACAAGTCAAGCCCGACAGATACGAATTTAACAAAAACAATCATCCTGTATCCCTAGCAATCAGAATTAGCTATGCAATATGAATTCAACACAATCAAACATTCCACCCCCAAATAATCATTCTCATGAATAAAGCAAGATGAAAAACTTACCATCAATCCAATTAAGAAATTGAATCTAAATTACAACCTTAATTCCAAAAGAAGAAGAAGAAGAAGAAGAAGAAGAAGAAGAAGAAGAAGAAGAAGAAGAAGAAGAAGAAGAAGAAGAAGAATGAAAAAAAATAGATAAAGAGAACAAGAAAAACGAACAAGAAGAAGTAGAGGAGAAGAAAATGAGAAGAAGAAGAGTTGTCGTCATTTTCTCGGACCTAGGGTTTTCACCCGGTCGATAGATATCCCAAAATGAGGAGTGGCACACGATTTTTATAGGTTCTAGATATACCGAAAGTTTGGCTTTAGATGTATTTACAATGAACCTGTTCGAATGAGAATCATGTTTAATTAAATTAGTCTATGTTCTGTTGTTTTGCACTTAGATAGAAAGGGTCGTCATCAAGCGAAAAGAAGATCAGTCTATCAGTTACTTGCAAAACAAGAATTATTTTTCACAACATAGATTGAATGAATACCCCGTCCGAAGGGTTGTAGTGTTATCCGTACAGTTTGTCTTGATTGATTAGTTACACTAGTACACTTTGTGTATTGAACAGATCCTAGAGAGGTGAAGTTCGTTTTATATTGATCGTCGTTAACGAACTAGACCTCGGTTAATTACTGTGTACTCTTAACCCGTAAGATATAAACAGACATGTGCAAGCAGTATTTATTACTTTAATTCATTTGGGTGAGATTCAGTTTACTGGATCAATATACTTAATGTTTTGGCTAATATTATTCTATGTACAATGTGTTGTTAGAATATTTAAGATCACCGTGTGCGATAGTTTGATGATGTCCCTGAGATGAGCTCATAAAGAAGTATCTATATATATAATTGCTGACATATAGCATTTAATAAAACCTATTTAATAAAACCTCTAAAATTTTCCCTCCATTTTCGGTTACAAAATTTATCATTAATAATTTTTTACTTCTCACATTAATACATCTTATTTAGTGTAACCATGTATGTTTCTATTATATTATATAATAGTTATTGCTAATACCAACTAATAATAATTCACAGTAAATATAAATTACATAATTATAAACAACTGTTTCAAGTTATTCATTTTAAAATCAATATTATATTTTTCTTTTGTATCTCATGAAAAAATTTCTTTAAAAACAATTAGTAAATTTTTTTAATAGCATAGTCAAACAACTTTAGAATCATACAAACAATTGTTTTTTAATAATAATAATAATAATAATATAACTGTTATTATCTAATGATAATAAACAATTAATGTTCATAATAATGAAGTCATTAATTTATTTTTCCTAATGATCAAACTGTAATATGTTCATTATCTAGAATTTTAATATTAAATTCTCAAATATTACTTATAATATTTTATGTACATTTGTGCATGTGCACAGGATATCTACTAGTTACGTTAAATCTGGCCAGTGGAATTTATTCCGACATAATAATAATGGTATGAGTAGTACTAGTCTCAGTTATAGATGTCGATTAATTTAATTATAAATAATTAAATTAATTGATGGACATTATATCTTAAACACGGGGAGATAAATTGAGTATTTATTATTGGAGCCTCGAATATAATTCGGAAATTAAATTGGGAGTTTATTCAATAATACTATTTTAGTGAAATGGATGTATTATTTCTATTTGGGTTCGGTAGGCTTGGCATATAGTCTAATCCTAATAGGAGAAGCCCAATTTAATACCTCCTTAGAGTCCCTATTGTAGCCTATAAATACATCACATCTCTTGGGATTTGGAGATCATCATAATTCACGTGAGATTGAGACAGATACACGCGCGCTGCCTCCTCATGTGCTCTCTTCTCTCTCTTGCGTTCTCTTCTTTTTCTCCAAGCAAACCCACTAGAGATATCTTTGATTTCATTGCCCACCAAGATGATCGGAGAAGATGTCGGGTCATACAACAGAAGATCTAAGGTGATCGAGGATTTATATATATTTATCCAACCCCGTAATTTGTCCGTTCTTCGCGGGGTTGTCCGTTCTTCGCAAAAGGCGAGTATTATGTTAATAGGATGTTGAAATTATTTGGTGACCATCTCATGACGATCGACACTATCCGGCAAGTCTCTAGTCAAAGTTTGACGGCGATCGGCCAAGGTGGCCAGGCAGGCGAGCTTCGGCAAACCACCGGCGCACACGGGCGCGGCCAACAGCCACCAGCTCACAGCCTAGTGCATCAGGTTCATTCACGCGTAGCCTAGCAGCCAAGGGAGTGGTCCAGCCCATTTGCGCGCAAGCCCAACCAGGTGATGAGGAAAGGCCCAACGTGGGTGCGACCTAATGACGCGAAGAAGGCCCAAAGCACGCGCTTGACCCAACCAATACGCTACAGCCCAGGTGTATAGCGTGCGGGCCGCGTCCGACCCGCGCATCTCGCTGCTCCAGCCTGTGCAAGGCCCGACCCCAGCCCGCGTATCAGTCTGCACCTCTCTCTGCTCAAACTAGTGTCAGCCCGTGAGAAGCCCAATTCGGCCCATAGCAGCCCGCGCCCATTTCCTTACAACTAGGCCAAGCCAAGTGGCCCAGTGTTGCGGCCCACCTGGTGAACCACACTCAAGTGTGGCCCAGCAATGCTCTAAGTGCGAAGACCCAGCCCAGTGTGCTCAGAATCGGTCCAGGGACGGTCCATCGTGGGTCCAGGTGGTTTGGTGACCTCTGGTGAGTCAGAGACGAGTCCAGGGCGGTCTGACATGGTTGGTGAATAATCTGGTGATTAGCAGGACAAGTCCGACTTCCCAATGGACTATATGATTCAGACGATCTCCAACAACGGAAATCAGAAACGTCTCAGAGTTGGCAAATTAATTAAATAGTATGCGTTGAACCCTCACTCTAGTTCTACTGTGCTTAGGGTTTAGTTCGTAGATAGTTCGTGAGTTGCATAATTCGAGATCCTCACAGATCCCAACAAGTGGTATCCGAGCACTTGGTTTAATTCGATTTTGTGCAATGTTCGGACTTTAGAGGCTTATGTGATTTATGTGCGTACAAGTACAACCATATTTTGTGGAATATTATTTCATAACTCGGTTTTGCAGGATAATGTGTTTCCACTGTTCTGGCCTTGAATGTGGGGTTGTGATATTATTTCACGTGTTTAAAGCCTCAGACGTGTTGAGGAATTTTGGGTTGTGAATATTTGTAATAATTATTCGCCCGGTAGGACATCGGGTAGATTTAATTATTTTTGTAGACGAACATGTAAACCCATCAGTGGGTCTAGGATCGAAATATATAATGTCGTAAATTATATTTTGATCATGTCGATGGCGGATGAACTCGGACGACCATGGCGACCGAAGATCAACAAGACCGATGGACCTCGATGACCCGATCGACCGTGAACCACCGTGAGATCACAACTGGCCACACGAGTTTGCACGAAACACGGCGGCTTAGCTGCCAGGTGTCCCAGGTGCGTGACTTACGATAGTCGGAGGACGGTGATCATTCGTGGTGTCCAGGCGAGGCGACCGGATGAGCCCGAGCGTGCTGACACAAGGCGCGGTGAACGAGTGTTGTGAGGTGCACGACAGAACCCAGTGATCACCGCACAAGGTGCTGCAGGGAGACACTCGCGAGCTTGTCGGTGATTACTCGGTTGGGCTCAACGACGACAATCACCGTTTTTCCAGCAACCAGTTGACTTGGCCAAGAAGTCTGCTAAATTGAGAATTCTAGTCTGATAAAGAAAATTCGGTTCTAATGGAATATGGACTAAATAGTTTCGTAATTCAGCTAGAGCTTGAATTAATGGCCATAATAGTGGAATTTATTTTCGTATTTTATTATAGCTATTAATTGTTATGCATAGTTAATTAATTTATTGCTTTGTGGCATGTGATTAATTAGAGAGTTGCATAAGTAAAAATCTTCAATTAAAAATTATACTAAGTTTGAGAAATATATTTAAAATTAAAGCTAATTTAATGCCCTAAGGCCTCTATTTCTGGTTTGTTGGTAAATCAGTTAATTGAAGTGCGGGCTCCCCAACGGGTGGCACTACTAAAATTAATTGTAGGAAATTAACAGAATAAATTTCTAAATTTTGGCGATTAGAGGAACTCTTATGAGAGCGTACGGGCCTCCCCACGGGGGATGTATACTCGATTTTGACGACCTCAGGATCGAGAAATGAGATTCACTTAGAATGCGATAAATTTTATACTCCCCACCGGGTCACTGATTTTTATTGCATGGCTAAAAGGAGACCGACTATTAATTTGGTTTGCCATGAATTGGGTTTTGGCTTATGAAAATTAATGGGTTCTTGAAAAATCCTTCTCTTGTGAATGTTGAGTGCGTATGACGACCCACGTAGCATATGTCACTCTCGGAGCTCGTTTGTTAGTCAGGACGTGACAAGATTGTACCATTAATCCACCATTTATCCAGTGTTTGTTTTCCAGCCCGTAAGATAACTTGAAGCCCGCGATGTACAGTGTTTTTATCATGGAAAACTGAGATTATTTGATCATGCCTTGTAGGTAAGATTATTGTTGTCTTTACAGTATTAAATGTCTGAATTTACCAAAGTGTCCTTAAAAGTAAACAATTTTGACCATATTAACCTCTGTCAAGTGAAATTTACATCTTCTGCCATTCACGTAACACTCACAAAAATCATTCACAATCGCAAAGACGGAGGGTCGTTCCCCTGCCCTGTTGTAACCAAAAAATTATTTTCTTCGAGATCAGGCCGCCGCTCACCGTTGGTTTACGATTCACGGATTTGTGAGCCGCCATCCGTGTCCGAATGACCCTCTTTTCCTGGCAGCCGCTCGACCACCTTCAATAAAAAATCTTGTCACAACCACCATATATTTCTGCCTGTCTTGCACCGGAAAAGAAGAAAGAAACATGAAACAAAATCTAGTGGAATTAGTTGTGCTGTGCAAAAATTAACAATGGGAATGTGAATTGATTTGTGATTTTGAGAAATTTAGTTTGTGATTTTAATGTGTTGCAGCGTGGGTGTGCTGTGCAGAGAAAGCAAAAAAAATAAAATAAAAATAAAAAGAAAGAGTGGAATTTGGTGAATTTTGGTATCGGGTGTGTGAAGAAAAAGACACCTTGCTTGATGAGAGCATTATTTGGTGTTGGGCATGAGAGTAGAATTTGGAATTGGGTGTTGCACCGCACCCTATTTTGATAAATACCGCATCCCCAAATGACTATTTATCCTTATTAAAAATGATAATAAAAAATTCAATTTTTAATTAATTTTTTTTATATATAAAAAAAAAAACAAACAAAAAATGTTAAACAGAAACATACAAACACTTTCAAAATAACATACAAAAAAATTTGATTGGCTCAAAAAAAAATTCTTGAAAAAAAACACACTAAAAATTCGAAAAAAAGTTCGAAATAAATCCGAAAAAATCCGAAAATATGGCGGGACAATTCTCTGGCACCGGAAAAGGAGTCTCCAATTCACAGGAATTTTAATTTTTTTTTCTTTTTACAATTTTAACGAATTAAAAAAAAAAAGTAAAAATTTTTCTGTGGTCGTCCGTCCTTTGCTGCGAGTTATGGTACGGCCGCATGGCGACCGCGGCCACAGCTCGTATGGCCGCTATTGTCGCCTGCGGCCATCCAGTACACGGCTGCTAATGGCGGCTGGCAATTCCAGTCGCCACCGCGCGCGGCCGTATTTTTTTTTAGTACTAAAAGTAATATTTTTAATTAAAATTCCAATTGTATTTAGTACAAGTATTTTAAATTAAAATAATAATATAAAAAATAATCTTTTACATATACTAATATAATTTTTAAAAATAATTAATAATGTATATTAAAAGTTCTATTAGTAATTAATATAATGAATAAAAATTATTTATACTAATATAATAGGTATCATAATTATTAGTACAATTATACTAAATATTAAGTACTATGTTAGTATATATACTAATATATTAGTATATAAAAAAATACTAATAGGTATCATAATTATTAGTACAATTATACTAATATTAAGTACTATGTTGGGCGCGGCGAGTGCAGGGTGGCGGCTCCCCTGAGCCTCGCAACCCTTTTCCGAAAGTAGCGTCGGGCAGGGGAGGGGGTTCCTTTTCGCCGGGGATACGACCACGCCTCTTTCCCATGTTCTTCCGGCGTCCGTCTCTGGTGCTGGAAGCAAGGTTTGGGTGGTCGTTTCTCCTCCGGTTTTGTCCATTCGGTGGCCCTCCGATGCTCTTTTGGAGGGGGTTGCGACCCCAAATTCTGATTTAGGGTTTGGGGTGGAGATGGGTTCCGGTCAAATTGCTTCTTCATGCCCCGTTTCAGTGGTCGCCGGCGACTTTTGGTTTGATTTGGAGGTGTGACGGAGAGTGATTGTCGGGTTGTCGGGCTGTTCCGCTCTGCTCGAGCCGCGGGGATTCGGCAATTCCAGGTACGGTGCTGCGTGTTGATGGAGAGGTCGTCAGTGATTGTTGGGTCGGGGCTGTGCGGTGTGGTTGTCGGCGATTGTCGAGTTGGGCTGCTTGCTCTGGCTCGGAGTCGTCGGTAATTGCCGAGCTGAGACTTTCTGTTTGGCCAGATGTCTTTTCTCTGGGTGATAGTGGGGTCTGTTCGTCTGGATGAGGGTTGGGCCAACCTGTGGATCCTCGATTCAGTAAGGCGTCTCTGCTGTTTCTGGTTCGGGATTTTGGGCTCGACTCTGCCACGGTTGTACTCGGTGTGGCTTTGTGCTGTGGGAAGGGCTCTCATAGGTGTTTGTTTTGTTTAATCTCGTTTTGCTTTGTGTTTGATCGTGGTGTGTAGTCTAGTTCGTGTTGTTTGCGTCTAATTGAGCAACTAGCGCGAAAGTCGTTGCTTGTTGGTCCGTTTTTTGGTTTGTTTCGGAAATGAAGTCAGGCTAGGCATTGTGCAGTGGTTCTGATTTTTATTTTCGTTTTATTTTCGTTTCTGGAGTTCTCTAGGCCGCCTAGTGCGTGTCCTCTCAGTCTTTATTCCTGTTTGTTTTTAGGTGTGTTTTTGGTTTGGGCCGTTGGCCCCTGTCTCATTACCCTGTTGGGGCCTTTAGATTACCCTGTTGGGGTCTTGTACTTTGTTCCTTTTGCACTTTTGTGCTTTTATATATTATCTCTATCGTTCCGGAAAAAAAAAATATATAAAAAAATAAATTAGTATTTAGTATATATTATAAATTAATAATATAAAATTACATTAATTGTTATAGGAAAAAATATATATTAGCATAAATTATTAAGTTATATATATTAATTAATTATCTTATAAAATAAAATTTATTGATATTACGTTAGAAGTTAGAATTGATTATATAATAAATTATAAATTACTATTATTATTTTGAGATAAGTTATAATTCATTATGTTTTTAAAATTATTAACATATATCGTAACATATTGCAGGTGCCACTCGAAGATTTTGGAGGAGACGGTGAAGATTACCGATCTTGTTTCGCTACAGACGAACTATTTGATAATCCCGACAAAGCTATTGAATGGGCAAAAGACATTGCAATAATATGGGGTTTCTAATTGGTCATCTCGAGACACAATAACGATGGAACGGTTCGGACGTTGAGGTGTGATCGAGGGGAACGTTACAGGGGCAAGGCAGGAAAACTAGGAAATTTAGTGAATGTTGTCTTGAGACGTTCGAAGACGAAATATACTGGCTGACTTTTTCAGATAAATGTGAAATTTGAAGAGGTATCCAAAAAATGGTGTATCTGGCTTCCTTTAGAAGACGAGAAGGGATTTCATAATCATGCGTTGACTGTGTATCCCGAGGATCATCGACAGATCAGCAGACTGAACGATTCATCCAAAGAGATTATCCGTGACATGAGTGATGCTCAGGCAAAACCGGCAGCAATTTTGGCTGCAATTCAGGAGAAAAACCCTGTGGACAACGCTACTTGCCAACAAGTTTATAACTATAAAGCTCAATTGGCGAAAAGACCGTCTGGGGGTAGAGATGTTGCTGGCCAGCTTCTGCATTTGGCTACCGGCAGCAACTACATAGTTTACACAGACGTTGACCCGAACACAAAGGCGTTGACACGTGTGTTCATGTCGCATCCACGAGCAGCCAGTTTATTACGGACATATTATTGGTATGTCGATATAGATTCTACGTACAAAACCAACACGTATGTTACATTACTTTATAAATCTATATAAATATAAAAAAATTTAGTATTTACCTGAAATAGTAATAGAAATCCCGCCAAAAATTTTGTTCTTACTTTTATTAGTAAATTTTTTAAAAAAAATTGTAAAACTAGCGGAATTTTTAAGAATTTGAATAAATCGGTCAAAATAAAATTTGAAATTGCATGTCCCAGATTTTTCTTATAACTTGGATTGGTTGTAAGTAAGGAAATTTGAATAAAAAAAAAGAATGAAATTGTCAACAGTTGCGGCTTCAGTTGTCCGAGATTCTTATAATCTTTGATTTGTGCGGCAATAAGTTTTTTTATTCTTAAAAAAACTTCGGTTGATGTTGTTACAAAACACAAAGGAAATAAATATAATAAGATTGTATTAAAAAATCAATAAAATCTGTAAAAACATAAATTTGCCAAATATTATTACAGGATAATTTAATTAAATATTATTTTTTTACGATTTTTATTCACATTTTGATTAAATAGTGTTAATGATTCGGAATTGTTTACGATTTTCATTTGCACAGGTACCACGTGTCGTTGGTTGAGATGATTGGAATGACACCGCGCAACAAGAACTTCTTAATTGCTTATGCAATTGTGAAGGAAGAGACCAAGTACAGCTATGACTGGGTCCTACAATGGTTGAGACTGATGATAGAGCCTGATAAACAGCCTTCAGTCATTGTCAGTGATCGGTAGTTGGCGTTGATTACTCATATTCAGAGGAATTTTCCAATGACGCCCCATTTACTTTGCACGTGGCACATCAACAAGGATGTGGAAGACAAGTTCTATCGGCTGACGTCCAAAAATAAGATCTTCGCGCAGAAGTTCACGCACGGCAAGTGGAAGAAGGTTGTCGAGGCGAACACGTGGGACAAATACAAAACTGCCGTAGAAGATGTGGTTGTTACATACGCAGTGTTTCCTCGTGTGCTGGATTATGTGGATAAGACATGTCTAGTGCACAAGGAGAAGTTTGTCAAAGTGTAGACGGACACTGTCTTACATTTTGGCAACACAACGTCGTGTAGGGTGGAGAGTTCCCACGCTACGTTGAATTGGTGGCTTCAAACGTCGACCGGTTC